AGAGAATCTGCTTTGGGTGGCGGGAGGGGTGTACATACTGTTATGGGCTATGAAGGGAAACGTAGCATGCAAACCTTGCCAGTCCTCTGCTTAGTCACCCACGATCTCCCATGCCCAAGGATGTTGCCTGGTCGATCGATTCTGTAATGAGAAAAGAGGATTATGGTGCCTGTTCGTCCAAGAGCCTCTACCTCTCTTCTCCCGGTGCCCATATCTCTTCTCCTCCGCTTCGGACCAAATTTGTCCCCACACAGTGGAATCAGGCGCTCGTCAGTTTTTGGGCATAACGGTGGAATCGGGTGGTCGTTGTTTTCTTATTGTTTGTTTTTTAAAATTAATTTACTGGAGTAGACCCAAAGAAACATATTTAGAAAACTAAACAGATGAGTGATGGGGAAACACCAGGATAACAGGTTGTTTGGGAGCATCCGAATACAGAAATGAATGCAGTACCACGTTCATCAGTGTCCGTTAAAAAATGTAACTATATGAGTTAACGCCCCTATCAACACAATTAGGTTATGTTAAGTCCGTCTTCCATAGGACCGAGGCAAAAGGGTTGAAAATTTGAAAACCCCACTAAACGACCCGAGTTCAATAACGCCGAGTGTGGGATTCGAACCAGGGTAATCCGCTTCATAATGCTGCAAGATACCAACTGAGCTATCGGATCACCCTCTGTTTCAGATCAGGCACTTTATGAGGGGAGGGGGGGGAGAAGGATGTTCCTAATGTTTTATTCATTCACTGGTTGTTGTTGTTTTTTTGGAGGGGGGGAATTTATTGTATAGTCACCTGTTTGCTTTCTGTTTGGGGTTTTGTTTCGGTTTGTGGTTTTACGGTATTTGTTTTTGGTCTAGTTTTTTTTTCTTAACTTTTCTTAAGTTTTGTTCTAATTATTGAAAGGGATGGGGATATCCCAAGAAGCATAATAAGACACAATTATGGTTATATTAATTATTAATAGCCAATATAATGTAAAATGCCAACTGGTGCTACATGGAGCTTATATACAGCGCAACATCAACCATACTGACCATGCCCCAGGTTTGACTGCAGACAGAAAAGTCAGATAAATTGGTGACAGGAAGAGGAACAACAAAAATGGAAACGGGTAACTTACATCTTTTTTCTTTTTATAATTTTCTAGCTTAAAATCCTCTGCCTGAAATTAACCTCCGTAACACCCCCATCCCCACCCCAGCCACAAAAAAAGCCAACGTCTTGTTTCTTTATAGGCTCCTTTCTGAACGACACTGCACGTAAAGCAATGTAAAGGTAAGAGTTCCTTCCCCTTTCGTCGTCCCTGTTGGGGAGGGAGTTCCTTTTTCTTCTTTTTATTTTGGTAAAGAGTTTAACGACACATGCATAGCAAAAAGACCATAAAAACGCCGAAGATTAGAGGTGTTACTAGAAAGTAACATACAAAGAAAAGAAAGAGGAAAAATAAGGACAATCGTAGATATTTCAAGAAGGAGCAAACTATAATGTATATGTACATCAGAGACTCGCCAACCACCCACTGAGAATAAATATGAACACAGCAGGAACGGCGCAGCCAGTAATCACTCATATAGACCTTTCCTCCACTCTGCATGATCTAATTGCAAGTACAGTGCAGTTATTTTATGCCCATATAATTCAATACGTCTAAAGCCAGACATCTTGCAAAACTGATTTGTCGTGAGTAACCTTAAATGAGGAGAAAGAATGTGGGTAATGCAATAAGACGCAGCGAGGGACCTTGGCGTTTCTGTAAACAAAATGCCGGACTCCTGTCTGTTCTCGGTGTCATGCCGACGGCACAATAATCCTTTCAAACTTCGTCGTTAGTGTGAGTTCACTCACATACTATTCCCACCTCTCTCTCTCTCTCTCTCTCTCTCTCTCTCTCTCTCTCTCTCTCTCTCTCTCTCTCTCTCTCTCTCTCTCTCTCTCGCTCTCACACACACACACACACACACACACACACACACACACACACACACACACACACATCTGCACACATAAAAGCACAAATACACACACACACCACGCACATAGAGTCACTCTCGCGCGCACACAATCATTTATTACACACAGACGCACATCTCCTCACACAAGAGCACCACACGAGAGTAAAAACTCCTGGCGATATATAAAAAACACACAGCATAGAGCGCCGCGCCCTGCTTCTCTCTTCTGTGGTAAAGGAGTAGAAATGCGAGAATCCTCCCCATACAGGAATTTAGCTCTGTTTTTGAAGGGCATGAAACCCTAAACTGGGCCTTCTTAAATCTAAGAAGGCCAGGCCCTCACCATACTGTGCATAGGAGATATCCACGCTGTTTTCCGTGACAAAAGCTCAGGATCATTTGCATATTGCTTTTAATTTTTAAGCGTCCAGTTCAATGTCTTAATCAAAAATGAAATAACAACCGTCTCCGACACAAAGAGGGCGAGAATTACGAAAGCACTCCAAACAACTACGGCTCAGACACAAGTAAACCTCAAGGATTAGACCTGGGTCCTCCATATTGAAGAGGTAAAGCTACAAACTGGGGCTCTGCAAAGCGGCGACAGGAAGTTTGAGTAACCAAGTAGTTTTGAGTAAAGAGATTAAGCGCATCGACAAGATTACATGTACTGTCACTTAGTCCATCGAAAAAAAAAATCAAGATGAACGGACACAAGAGAGCGAAAGTCAAAAAAAAAAAAAAAAGAGAGAGAGAGAGAAAGAAAGGGACGTACGGGTGGCGCCCTCTAAACACCCAATCAGAGACGACAAACACTGTTGCCTTCGTATTGGTGTTTTGTACGTTGATGTCCGGGTACATCCGCTCAAAATTCCAGTTGCAGATCAAGTAATTATCTCATTTTATCTTATCTTATCTTATCTTCTCAATCTTATCTTATCATATTATTATGTGTTGTGTTATGTGAAAGCGGTGTAACCTAGCTGTTTTATTTTATAATTATATCATGCATTGTATGAAGCCCAAATGTCTGAGTGGAGATCAATAAAAGCGGTATTTTATTTACCTGGATTAACATAATTTGACCTTTATACAAATTGTCACGTTAAAAGAAAAACGACGGCCTTTCGTGAGAGCTACACATCAACAAAGAAATAATTATACGTGTACAACAAAAAACAAAATCAGAAACTGGGTTTAAATGGGCTAAACTATGTCGACAGCACAAAAACAAGAGACTTGCCAAGGTCTGAGTCTTTACACAAAGCGTCAGCCCCCCCCCCCCCCCCCTTTTCCACTCGTCTTCAAGGTCAAGCGATCACCGCTGTAATCTCTAAAACCCTCACTCTCGTGTGCCCAGACGACTAAACAAGCATCATCCGGGGCTGCCCTGAGAGCGCACGGTCAAACAGCTGCTAATGAAAAAGGCACAGGCTGGATGAATATTTACCCTGCGCTGGGCGGCCGCCCACTCAAAAAAAAAAACCCCTCAAGAACCAACTCAATTGCTCCTTTTGGTTTCACTACACTTTGAGATCGTTCCCTTTTCTTATTGACGGACAAGGAGGTTTTAAAGAGGGTTTACAAACGAAGGGTCCCTAATTTGTTAGGTTGATGAGAATTTCCAAATTGGTTTATGTATTCTTTATGTTTTTGTTATGTACACAACGGCGAGCGTGAGAAAACACATACGCGCAGGAAGGAAAAGTATCGTTTTAGTGAGAGTTGTTAGTCTGATCTACTTTGGCCTGATTTCGCTTGACTTCATGCGGTTTAAATGCCCCTATTTTTGGTACAGCGCGGTTATTTAAAAGACCAGATCTTCTGCATAATTCACAATCTGATCAACAAACAAGCAAATGGATAGATGGATAGATCAAGGGGACGCAAGTAAACCTCACAGGCAGGACTGAGTTAGGATTTGTTGTTGTTGTTCTTTGTTGGTTACTTGTTTGTTTTGTTTGATTTTTATTTGGTTTTGCGGTTTTAGGGGTGGGGGTGGTCATTTATAGCTGATGGACAGAAACAACACAGATATTGAAGAAAAAAGATCTCCTGGTGGCGCCCTCGCCGTACGTGTGGCTGGCCTTATGTAGCAGGAGAAAAAAACACCAACAACTAACAAAGCACGGAACAAAAGAGAGCATTACAGGGGGAGTGAACAAGGGGCTTCAAAAGCAACAAACAAACTGATGTCTTTTAGTTGAAACAGTATCAGTATTGTACAGTAAATAAAAGAGGTACATCTGGTACTTAAGCGTGTTGTTGTTGTGCAGTAGTTCTTGTTGTTGTCAAATTGTCATGAAGTACAAGAATGACCACATTTCACCAAAAAAACAGCTGGAACAAATACTAACAATATAAGTAAAAGGCACAGGCCACACTAGAAGCCTCATGAATCACTTATTCCCTGCAGTAATACCCAATAAAGTAACACAATATAAAATCTGGAGCCAAAATATTCATCAGCCACATCCACATCCCCAAGACCATACCAACAGTTTGAAGCTATGAAGTTTGCACGTACAAAGTTGTTTCACAACAGAAGAATACACCAGAATAAAAGAAAATCTTTCTCTGATTTCAGTTCTAAAAACGAGCAGAGCAGGCACAAACCAGGAAATCACCAGACAAAGAAATAACTTCGGAGACACATTCTTGTCTCCGTCTATAGCCGACATTTACATTCTATATGAGGCACACACAAAGGTCATTACTCTTGGGTGACCTCAATCAGAGTACCTGCCAAACACCCACCATGTCTTCTGGCTGTCTAACGAGGGTTACCAAAGGATAAGCAAAAAAAAGAAGGATTAAATCAGAAAAGAAAAGATTTGAGAGCAAGGATAAAAATAACGTCAATACCTGCTTCATATTGAGATTTTTTAAGGAAGTGGTTTGACCACCTCCTGAAAAAGTTGGTAATTTCTATTCATTTCATTTTTTTGACAGTTTATGACTGCAAGTCAGGAAAACGATAAACCTAACATCCCCATTTCTTTTATTTCCAAAAACTCAAACCCCTCCACAGTATGAAGCGTAAGAAAAAAATGAAGAGAAAGGCGAACCTTACAAACTTTCTTTTAACAAACACCTCATCAATGTCAAGTAAGGGAAACAAAAGTGTAACTTACCATACTGCTCTATGACTTCCTTACATAGGGAAGTGGCCACATCAACGCAAGTCATTCCTTCGTTGTTCTGGAGATTCGTCGCTGCTCCAGCTTTGAGTAGGACCGTGACACACGCAGAGTTGTCTTCTCGTGCTGCATAATGCAAAGGTGTGTTCCCATGGAGCTCATCTTTTATGTTAACATCACCTTTGTCAAAATAACAAGACAGGACTTTCAGATAATATTGCAAATTTCTAACCTGAATACATATATTTTACATCTCTTTTAAAGGAATTTAGATAATTTAGGAGGGATCAGGGATGTTTCGACTCCTGCCCGTCAGGAGCAGCCTGGATGGAGAGGTATACATATATGTAGCATCCCTGCAAACTGATAGAGATGTGGGAATAAGCCTCAGGTCTTATCCTGGAAACAACACTGATCAAGAGCTCTAAACATTACAATAAATTAGTGAATCCTTTTCTATGCATTGCTAAACAATGCACAGCCAAACTGTTAATAATGCAATCGCAGGGGGGAAAAAAAATTAATATATATATGTTCTAAATATTTCCTGTCTTGAACAGGGGAATTTGGATGATGGGGGTGGAGTTGTTCCCAGGGGTTGTTCCCGAGGGCCAGTCCACTCATGGTGGGATCAAGGGTCACGTCTCTCCAGTTGGCAAACAGTAGTGGTCAAAACTTCACAAATCCCTAATACTATCCTAGACTCTTTGATAATGGCATGCGTCAGTTTTATCTATTTTAAAAACCTTGCCTTGCATGTCGTAAAATAAAACTCGAACTTGTGCACACATGAAACTCATATTCCTTTCAACCCTCATCCAAATTCTGATCTTGAAAGTCATGTACATGTATGAACTGAGACCATGAAAACTTATGAAGGATATAGATATAAAGCCGCAGCAGACCACATTACACAGCCACTATAGTTAGCTCAAGTCAACTTAAATTCCTCTCCTAGAAAGGGACCATCTATTGATCACCAGGTGAAGCCACGGATAGAGTAAGAGCTTTAAGTTTGTTAACGAAGGTCGTTGTCAAATTTAGCCTTTCCAGTCTGTTCCAACCAAATACTCTTTTACTCTCATACCATAACGGAAAACAAAATTGAAACTGCAGTCCTTTCAAAGAGAAATAAAAAACATGTGTACTTAAAAGCCAATTACCATTCATGGGTTTACTGTCTCATTTATGACAATTTAAGGATTTTAACTTTAGATTTTTGTTAAGATGTACTCAAATACAATTCGTTTCAGCTTGGGTGTTAATAAAACATAATCTAAAACATTAGGCCTATATCATGATATAATTGACTGCTCCAGAACATTAGGCCTAAGTTATGACAAGATTGCACTCTAACCTAGAATTACAGTTGAACCAGCCATTACAGCCACCTCTATAAGACGGCCACCTGTACAAACGGCCACTTTCCATTCCCCCCTTTCTGTTTTTCTATAAATTTATAATTTAACTGTGTAAAAAGGTCACCTGTCAAATGCGGCGGCAGCCAACCTATTTTATCAACCCACAGCCAAATTTATACCTGCCTAAGACGGCCAGGCTTTGTAAAAAATTATGCAAGTTCCCCAGACGCTGTGACAAGCCGTCATAATTCATTCACTTGTCGTTGTTGTTAAGTTCCTCCAATGGATGAAACAGTCATGTTGCTTAGGTCACTCCCACTGTTTACCCAAGTTGACCAAAGAGTAACAATACATTTTCAGCTGCTGGTAAGGGAAGCGTGTGATCCACCATTATCTATAAGCCCCATCCACAACTCAGTCAGTAAACTCAGTCCATAACAATGGATGTCAACACAAACTCGCAACAAAATTTGCTCGTTCGCCAAGTGCTGGCGACTCATTTGTTTGTTTGGCTATGACACTAGGCCTTCCTCGTCTGAAACATTTAGTTTTGTTTTGACCTTTCCTGGAACCATCATTTTGAAAAAAAAAAAAACAGAACAACTAACAACAACAGTCCCACAAAAACCGTCCTATCATCTCTCCCCTTTCAAAAGAAATAAAAAAAAGACGACAACATCGGAATTAAACCTTGACAATCGCCGCAAGCTATCTTCCATTCACACAAATTTACCTTTATAATGCAAAAGTAGCTTAAGAATTTCTCTCTCGCCATTGTGAGCAGCTTCGTGCACAGGAGTCCATTTAAACAATCCTATATGATTTGGATTCAAGTTCTGTTTCAAAGCTTGAAGCACAGCATCAGCGCTTCCGTACCTCACAGCTGTGTGCAACTTCGTATCCGACATGGTTCTGGCCAGTTATTCATATAAATAAATCATGTAGATCTAGAATCTAGTTAAATGACGTCCACTTTTATGACTGAAGCCGTTTATCATATTTGGTTTTTCATTAAAAATTTCAAGATCAATCATTGCAGCAATC